AAAAAAATAACTAATCATACTTGATATGATGATGATGATAATGCTTCTTAAAAGATATAATTATTTTAGAGTCTATAGGTTGAAGTCTTAAAGTTGTATTAGAAGGTAAAAAATAAACAACATTTTCAAGAGTTAAATTTTCTAATTTATGACTTACAATTATCAAGAAGTAGCAAAATATGTTGTTTATTATGTTTTATGCCAACTTGATAATCAAATTCCTGAAGCCATTCTTGAAAAAAAGTTGTTAACATCTAGGCCTTAGCATTATTCTAGTAAGTTATTAGTAAATTACCAATATTAATATTTTTAAAGCATCTTGAATTGGCATATTTACCAATTACTAAAGGATATAGTTTATGTGACCCATCTGTATTTACATATAAAGCAATAAAAAGGCGTTTTTTATTTTTTTTATGTTTAAAAAGCTGTCTTATAGCTAATATTTTATTTAGTTCTAACCTTTAAAGTAATATTAATATAAGAAAACAATAACTATTAATATTTATATAAAATAATACAAAATTAAAAAATACTGGTAAAAAAGTCCAGTTTCATCCATGTTATAGATTTGATCAAGAGGATACTCTGCACATTTATGTCTTAATAATAGTAAAGCTTCAGCTATAGCATTTTCATCAGTAGAATCTGCTTCTTCATGAAGCTTTATTTGACGAATACCATGACAGTCTTTAAATCTTTGAAGCCATCCCTTAGAAAACTGTAAAAATTAAATTAAAATAAAAAATAAAGCACACTCTCATTCAGTTTTCAAGCATATAGAATTCATATAAAAATTTTTTCTTTAAATGTATACCTTCTTTAAATGCATATTTTTTAAAATTTTCACTATAGTCCTAAAGGAATGCATTTAGAGAGAGTTGACTATAATTAAAACTAATTACTAAATAAGAAAAATATAAAAATTAGCTTACTTTTTTTGTAGTGATAAATTAAACAGTTTTATTAAAATTTCATCTAGTTTTTAGCCTAAGAAATAGCAGAGATAGCATTGATCTAACCAAAATATATAAGAATAAAAAAAAATTTAAAAAAAAGAAATTATTTGATCAAGACAAATCAGCTTATCTTTACTATAGTGATGAACTAGATAGTTCTATTCAAAGGTTCCATTTGATATTTAACCTAAGATTAGAAATTAATAAATCTAAATAAATAAAAATAAAAATATAAACAAAAAAAAAGAAAAAAATCGATGGCTTATCTTTTGCTATAGTGATAAGATAAACAGTTTTATTTAAAGATTTTATCCAATTCTTAGCCTAAGAGAAGGAACTGATTAAACTAAAATTAAAAAATAAAAATAATAAAAAAAAATAAAAAATTGAATTGGTTTACCTTTACCACAGTGATGAACTAAACAGTTTTATTTGAAAGCTCTATTTGATTCTTAGCTTAAGAAAAGAACTGATCAAACTTAAATAAATAAAAAAAATAAAAATATTAAAAAAAAAGTCAATTTACCTTACCTATAATGATAAATTAGTCAGTTTCATTTAAAAGTTTGATCTAATTCTTAGCTTAAAGGAAGAAACTGGTCAAATTTAAATAAATAAATGTGGATAATGATTAATGTATAAAAGTTAGAGTTGTAATTTTGTCATATAGTTTTTAATCAATCAAGATATTTTTGAGAGTAAAAAGTGAAATCAATAGATCTTTATCCAGCTATCCTTTTGACCTTTTTGTTTTTCTGTTCTTTTAATTATATTTTCTGATCCTTAATATATTATCTTGTAAAATTAATAGAAATATACGAGTTTTCAGAATTCAATAACCACTTATCATATATTTGTAAATGGTTCAAGTAAACTAAAATAACAATACAGTTGTTCAAAAATATTCCTCTAAAATTTAATCTAATTCAAATTTAATATATAATCTAGATAAATTAGGAAAATGAATAAATTATAAACTAAATTAAGTTACCTGCATTTGCTCGTATTAAATAAAATAATTATGAATCATATATTGGATTAATATTTATATATTTAAGACATTAGGAATAAATTGTTTGTAAATGATATTTAGAAGCTATTTACTAGATTTTGTTTCTATTTTTTTTTAATAATTGACCATTTAATTGAATCTATTTTTTGTAATTAGAATGGTTGGAATTAATTCAATATTATAATGATGTCTCATATAATTTTACAAATTTATGGCACATCTAATGATAGCTAAAGTAAATTTCATTAGGATGATTATAGATTAATATAAGAAATTTTACCATAATAATTAGGACCTTTACTACAACTACAAAACAAGCATTAGATTGTTAAATTACATTGATTTTGTTTGTTATTTCAAGTTCATAATATCAAATCGATTTTTTTTGATTAAATTTTATTTTAGGCAGATTTCTTTGGCTTTAATCATTCAAAATTAAGCAATATACATAGTTTGTTATTTTCTTTTAATTTTTTATTTACGATTGCTTTAAGCTGTAGCTATATTTGAGGGTTTATTTGGACTTTTCTTCTATTTTATATTCTATTGTTTAGGTTGGTTGTATCAATTATTTATTTTTTTATTGTTATATCCTATTTTTCAAATTTAGGAATGAAACTAACCTAAAAAGATAAGAAAAAAAGAAAATTTAATAATTTAGTAATAAAAAAATATATAAAATAGACCTTTGTTGATTCATAAAATTTTTATTTTCATTTTTTCATAATAATAAAAAAAAGTGTTAATAAGGCCAGTCCCTGGTCGGCCATGTCCATGAATCTAGTTTAATAAGTATTTATAATGTGAATATTTATTTTTATTTAGGAAAAATTTATCTGTAATACCCCGTTATATCACTGGGGGATTACATCATCTATAAGTTTATAGCGGATCAGCAGATCATCAAATTATAGTTCTGTAAGAAATAGATTATTCATTTAAGAAAATAAATTAAGCATAATTTAAATCAAAAACTTGCAGTTCCTTTTATAAACAAATTCTGTTGTTTTAGTATTCAGTTACTCAGTTAAACTTAGTATGGGTGAATATGAAAATGTAGAAATCTCTTTGTGCAGCGTAAGATTAGGATTTACCTTAACGATCTGTAAATGAATACTAAATTAATTTTGGCGACCAAAGGTCGCCGAGCTATTAAATTAATTAAATTAATCAACTCTGAATGTAAAATGTACGATAGAACTTAATTATGTTGCAAGAACAAAGTGTTAATAACTAATTCCTGCATGTCCTTGTATTATGTCCCACTTCCTTGCATTTACTACATACATATTCCTTTCTTATAGTACATCGCATAAACGTAAAGATTCATATCATAGATGATATTCTAATTTAATCGTTTTTGTCACTAAAACAAGATATATTTTTACAAACACAACAAGCTACTAATTAAAATATATGCATAGTTAAGTATTTTATTTATGAATTTTAAAAAAAATAAAAATTAACTATAAATTCCACGTGATTTGCAAAATACTTAAATATGCACTTATTGAAATTATCTTAAAAAGATAAAGTAATCCATATGAACGACAATCTTCATAAAGTTTTTGATATATAAAGTTAATGCTTCTTTAAAATTTACAAATAAATAAAAATCAATAACTAATTTCTATTACTACTTTAAAAAACCACCACATAAAAAAAATGAACATCAGATACATTATTAACCATATTGGGAATTTTTTAAATTGTGAATGAAATATGGTTTTGGGAATTTACTAAACAAATAACTCTATGCATGCATAATTTTCCGAAGTTGTAATATTAATTTAAAGATACAAATAGTGACACAGTATATTTTTTTAATAGTGTAAGAAACTTCCAATAGTACATTTACTTTTTTCGGTTAATGCAACGTTGAATATCAGGAACCTAACTTTTTGTGAGAAAACTTGTATGTAATCCTCAATCAAGAAATGACTTCGTTATTTGGTACGTAATAATTATTATACCGTATTCCTCCGAATTAGGCATTCCTCGCCCGAAAATAAGCACTATATTGTTTTTTTAGTATCCGAAAATAAACACTATCACATTTTTTAGTATCCGAAAATGAATAAATGCTATAACAAACCCGATTTATTAAATATTTTATAAAATTCAATGTTTTTATTTATTTTATCTAAAAGAATTCATCGCCATTTCTTTCAACATTATTAATGATCGCCATCACAGCTAACACAACCCGGAATTACCGCTAATTATATCCACTTTCGCGAAACTTTATTTTAACGGATTCTTCTATATGACCCCTAAATGAAACGTGTTACAAATATAAAGCATTTATCATTTTTGCGTAGCTTCTGAGATTGAAAATTTAGCAATTTTTTAGTACCCGAAATTAAGCATCTCTATAGCAAAATAAGGTGCTTAATTTCGGAGGAATACGGTAATTATTCATGAGACGAAAGTGTATATAAAACAATTTTTAGTGCTCCATTGAAGAAGCTCATTAGGTTAAAATTTTCCCGACTAATGTAAACCAAATCAACTAGCAAGATGCGGATCAATTATGAATATCAACAATTCATAAATCGTAACAAAAAAAAAAAAAAAAAAAAAAAAATCTTTCGACACTTTCATATACGAAATTTTTTTTTCACATTTAATTAACTATTATTCACAATACTACTTTATTTGGGAAAATTTCTAGGAAAATCAGATCTGAAGATTTTAACCCTAATAAAACTAATATTCAATAAAATCCTGATTGTCCTAAGCAAACCTTCCCATTTTATTTAATTTCAGGAACGGATTTAAAGCTAAATTTATTCAATTTTTACTCGAGATAACACTCACTTTAATATAAAACTTAATCGGGCATAAATGATTGGTTTGGTCCATATGAATTATTAGTTCGTAAACTCGATTTTAATAACAATCCTCCCTGAAAATATTATTTACCATTCATTCTTATTTAATAATAACAAAAAAATATATAACAATTCGATCATATATTATAAACAAAAATTTAAATGTGATACAATATTTATATTTACACTATAAATATGACAGCTGGTTTGTTCTTTTAATAAAAAAAAAAAAAAAAAAAAAAAAAAAAAAAAACGAAAAAAAGGTCTTTAATCTATAATTTTAGACTGGATTCAGAGTCTTCTCTAGACCCGTCATTCGGGTTCGGATTTTCTTCAACTAATAAAGCTTTATCATACACCAAATGCATAGAATGCGGGATACAAACGAGACCTGCAGTTTGGTGTAAGCATTGCGATCTTGCAAGGTTGAGAGAACATTTTCGCAATTGGACTAGCGGAGATTTGGTAGTAGATCAATTTTTGGACTTTTTAGAATGGATTTATTTCGACCAATTTGTTTTCGAAAAAAATATTAACAAACGAGGCGCTTTCAGCACAATTTATTTCGCGACATGGATGGAAGGACCAAAATGGAAATTGGATGAAGAGGCTGAAACATGGGAACGTAACGGACTAATTAAAGTTATATTAAAGCGATTAGATAATTCACAAAATATGTGTCAAGAATATATTAACCAAGTAAGTGATTGACTTGATCATTGAAACGAAATAGGGTTTGCTATTAAAATCATGTTAGGATCATATGATATTCCTCGATACTAGCGAACGAACATTATTCCGACCGGAACAGGAATAAAGGACGTGATAACTCCTAGATCTGTATATAATAAAGTAAATCATATAATCATATCTGCCAACCTTCTATATATGTCATCCCCGTTTTTGGAGATTTATTTATAAAAATTCATTATAATAGATTAAACCAACACCCTATTTACTCTTTTCTGTTTTATTTTTAATTTTCACTCAAAAAAGATATATAGTAGAACTAAGGGATCAATCTCATCTTATATGTTCGTTATGAGATATAATGAACAGGGATATTTATATGAATATTTTGAACTATCTATCGGGCTTCTTTGCTGGAAAGATATAATAGATATGTTATGGTCCATAGCAGGTCTTAATGATATTCATGAAGCTGGTCTCGTCCATGGACATATATACGGAGGAAATATATTAGTTGAAAACGAAGCAGACTCAATATACTCTAGAATCGCGGATTATGGCTTTCACGGTCAAGTAGATAACCCATCAAAACAAATTTATGGCGCAATACCTTTCGTTACTTCGGAGCTTTTTTTAATGGAAATACGCCAACAAAAGGAATATTCACGAGAAATAAAGCAGATTCAATAGACACTAGAATCGCGGATAGTTGATTGCACGGTCTGGTTGATAGCCTATCAAAACAAATATATGGAGTAATACCTTTTATTGCACCAGAAATTTTAACGCCAACGAAAGAATCTAATGTTTACAGTTTTGCCATGTCATGTGGATGTTAGCAGCCGGTGTACACTCTTATTATGATAGACTTCATATAATTTGTTCAAGAAATCTGCTCTGAATAAGACCAAGACTTATAGAAGGAACTGTTTATTCTAAAATAATGCCTGAATGCTTAGTGCCAGTACATCAAATAGGATAATCCAATGCGTCTGATTATCTGATCAATTTGATGCTGCAGATTTGCAAATTTAGAAAAATCTGTTTCTGATCATGGTTTATCGATTCATGAAAAGGCAATTTACATAATGGTCCGTTAAATCCCTATATCAGATCTTCTGTCTTTTTATACATAGATTTATAGCTTGACGTAAGCTACCGTTTATATACGATTTATCACGCGTTCCTTTTCATTAATTGCATTATTGTTTATTATTTTTTTATATTTTTGAAATCCAAACACATTCAAAAAATCAAAATTAAGTAATATTGTTGTCATGGTGTATGTCATAATATTGAAGGATTTTGACATCATATTGTGTAACAATTTGAAAATCAGTATATATTTGTTAAGTTGTATCTCTTGTATCAGCACAAATAGATGAATGCATTCCGCTTTAACTAACTATTGATAAAACTATATTATTACAAGCTAATTAGAAATTTTATGTATAAATACGCAGCATAGCGGGCTTTCTATTTTATCACAAATGTCGATGTAGGGTGGCTCAATTTTTAGAATGGACATCTGAATATTTTGATCACCCAGTTACAAAACTACCACTTCCACAAATTGGTCAAGAAGCTGATATTGGGGCTTGTTATTCTGTTGGAAAGCATTCTTTTTGTCTTCTTATCGGTGAAGCTAAAAATGAAATTGGTGAAGGACATGGATGTTCATATATACAAGCATGTGCCTCATATGCTAAACAGATTGGTGCTAATACAAATAATACAATACGTAAAAATCTTAATCCATCTTTTATTCTTTATCTCTCTGGTCCTTACCTGGGTATTGCTGGTGCTGTTTTTGGAAAAGATTTTACAATAGA